AGGACCATAAGTCCTTGGATCTCCAAAACCTCTGGCACTCCACCGCAAAGTGGGCCGTTCTGCTGGCTACTACCAGTCAGTGGCAGCTTCCTGTTTATGCATCTAGTGTCTTAAACCTGTGGCAGAGAGACACGGGAAGCAGCAGGGTCCACTCTGCTGAGACACCACCTCCATTTGATGCCTCCACTCTCAACTGCGTGGTCATTAGAACCATCAGGTATAGCCCTGCTTCCAGTCACCACCCATCTAATCTCTGATGATGGGGACCTTTGGAAGAAGGCTATTACTTAAGATCTTAATGGGCAAGTTCAGAAGATATAAAGATAGTGGATCACACCTATAGTCACCTAGTACATTCACAGCTGAGGGAAGGTCAGTGGTTCAAATCCGCGCAACGGGGTGAGCTCCCATCGCTTTGTCCCAGCTTTTCCCAACCTAGCAGTTCGAAAGCAGACCAGTCCAAGTAGATAAATAGGTACCGCTGCAGCAGGAAGGTAAACAGTGTTTCCATGCGCTCTGGCACTCATCACGGTCCTCCATGTGCCATTAGCGGTTTAGTCATGCTGGCCACATGACCCGGAAAGCTGTCTGTGGACTAACGTCGGTTCCCTTGGCCTGAAAGCGAGATGAGCGCTGCACCCCATAGTCGCCTTTGACTGGACATAACTGTCCAGGGGTCCTTTACCTTTACCAAAGAAGAAGTAGTCACAGCTGAGCAGTCAGTTGAACCGAAGTCTCCCAGTTCATAGTGCACGCTTTTAAGATTTCACTTTACCAACTCCCATGCTTAAATTCTCTTGATTTCTCAGTTATGCGTCAACTCAATATAAATTAGTTGTGTCTTTGCTTTTTGAAAAAATAAAAGAAATGCAGCCAAATTATTTAGGAGTAGCCATTTACAAACTTGGGGAAGGGATGCAGATCAGTGTTTTGCATGCAAAAGCTCCAAGGTTCAATCCTTGGCATCTCCAGGTAGCCCTGGAAAAGCATCTGCCTGAAACCCCAGAGAGCCATTGTCTTGTCAGTGTAGAGACAGCACTGAGCACAATGGACCTGGTATGCAGCAGCTTTCTATGTTCCTCTCCCCCTTCTTTTCATTTTCCTGCTTCCCACACTTCTCCAGGGCCACCACCGCGTTTGACTCAGAGGCATGACATGGTATGCTGCCCATGCTCTTAACAGCACAGTGGTATTGGGCAAATAGCGTATAGTGTGCCGTCTCCAAGTCTCCTGGTTTGTCTGCATCCACATGGAAGGAATTTGCTTTCCATAAATATCTCACAGAATTGATCAGCTGTGCGTGTGAAGCAGTTGACAGCTGTCCCTGGGGGACCCAGCATCTTTTGAGCAGAATGTCCCAGCAACACCCCCTGGTCTTACATTCCTCAGATGTATAAATGTGGGGATGCAGCCGCCTTCAGTGACCCATGGGTATTCCAAGTGGTTTTATAAAAAATGCTACAGCCAGCCTTCCTTGCCTATATTGGCTGTTCTCTCAACACCTTCATTGTTTTCGTTTCAGAAATTTTATCAGATGTACTCGGTGACTCTGGAAACTTGGGAGTGTCTCTTGGGAGCTTAAAAGGAAATGAGTCCAGTTGAAGTAAGGAAGGAGCACTTAGTTTCCTGCTAAGTTAAGCCCTTTGTCTCAGTGCCGGATTAACACATAAGCTGAACAAGCTATGGCTTAGGGCCCCACTCTCTTGGGTCCCCCCAAAAAATTAAAGGGGAAAAAACCCGGATGTACATTTCCAATTGTATTTCAGTTCAACAAGTACTTGGATAAAATACATATTTTGTTATGTGCAAATGGCTTTATATACCTATTAGCTTCATAAATTACCATATAGCATACATTCAATACAAAAAACAGCAACAATTTGTTGTTGACAAAGGACAGCTGGACATATAAAGGGCCCCATTACCTTCAGTAGCTTAGGGCCTCATCAAACCTAAATGTGGCCCTGCTTTGTCTTCTCCAAGACGTGAAGCCTGGTTTTATGCAATTTATGCTGATAATAGTTTATGCCATCTGTGACTGATACTATGAACATCTGCAATTTGTGTTCTTCTGTTTACAGGGATTATATATTATTATTATTATTGTTATTACTGCTACTGCTACAGAAGTGCTCCTCCTCCTAAAACTAGGCACTAAGATCAAGTTGCTGCCCCTGAACACTAGTAGTGGACTTGAAACAAAATCTCCTCCTTCAAGGGATGCTACAGCCACATGTTTCAAATGAATATGGCCAGCTGAACAGACTACTTGGTGGGGAACTCCTGCAAGCACTGTTTGAGCTATAGATGCAGAATGCTGGAATACAGAGCCAATTCTTGTTCGCACCAATGGACTGAGATCAGATGGTGAGAGCTACCTGTGAGTTTCATGCTTTCCGCCTACAAAGAAGCGCTTTCTTGTGGGAATCATGCAATGCTGTGGTGCTAAAGACTCACAACTCCCACCAGCCTCGGGTAGTGTGGGCAATTGTTAGGGGTGATGGGAATTGTAGTCCACAAACATTTCGATTTTCTTCAGTGCTTCCTGTGTATAGTTCTGCTAGCCTAACCCTACTTACCCTGTTCTTCAGGACGGTTTCTGCTTCACAACTCTTTGTAAACTGCTTAGAAGCCTATTTTGGCATTAAGCAGCCTAAAAATATAAATAAATTAAAAAATCTCAGCAATACCAATGAACTTATCAAAATATGATTTTATTTTTTCCCAGTTTTGAACAAGTTTACAATGAACATGTTAAAGGACATGCTGGGAGTATCATTGTATTTTCTTACTTTTCCCAGTCATGTAATTATTTGTTTCCAGTGTTTGATTAACAAGTCTTCAGCTAAAGCCTTCAGCATGACAGACTCCAAACAGCAGATCATTAATAAAATCACAGTAAAATACATTGTAGCGGACAGCCTAAAATAAATTATCGGCCCAGAACCCTCATCTATAACACCTTAAAGGCCTGGGGGAAAGGTGGGGAAAGGTTTTTCACCAGGAGTCCCATCTCCCCGCCCCGCCCCTCCGGCAAAAGGCTGGGATTTTATTTTATTTTTTAATTAATTTTTTATTGAATGTTTTCACGTAACAAATTGTTCCAAAAAATCATCTTCATTATATTTCCCCCCATTTTCCCCTCCCCCTCCCTACGACTTTCCTCAGCTCCTTTCTCTGATTTTTTAATGATTTTTTTAATGAACTGGACTCCTTGGCAGGTTTTGAATAAACATACAGAAACATTGTTGCTAATATAATAGATAACTTGAGGATTTTTACATTTTTATAACATGCAGAGAATAATTATTTTATTTTCAATATGTTTTATTTAAATTTGAAAGAAAATACGAAGATTAATATCAGTTATGTTTTTACCAAGCTTAAAAAACTAATCTAAATAAAAACACAGATCAGAAAGGAAAAAGGAAAAACAAGATGAAAAGAAAAAAGAAGAGAAAAAGAGCATCAAATTCTTCATCTATATATAGAAATGTATTCAAGATATCTACTCCAAGATAACAGCCAGCAAATCTGCTTTCTATAAACCAGTATTATCTTAAATCCTCAAACCCAGATATCATAAGTTCATTTTCTGTTTCATGCTAAAATCGTGTAAGAAGTTTCCAGTCTTTAGTAAATGTTGACAATGATTTTTCTCTGATTAAACACATAAATGACTTAGCTGCCATTTCAGCTAAGTCCAATAATTTTAACAACCATTCCTCCACTGTAGTTAATGATTATTCTTTCCATCTGTGTGCACTTAAAAGTCTCACTCTGTAATCATATACTGAAATGAAGTTTTAGCATCTTTTTCTAACTGTATATCCATAAGTCCCAGCAGGAGGAGCTCTGGCTTCAGTTGAACATTAACCTTCAAAATTCTCTGTATTTGTGTATGCATTTGTATCCATAAATTTTTGGTTTTTATACACATCCACCAGGCACGATAAAATGTCCGGGGAATTAATTTTAGAGATGGGGCAGGACGTTAGAATTGACCTTGTTTTAAGCACTGTTCTCTAGCTATAGTCTTAACTGCTTCTCCAAGCTCCCCAATGATCCCAGAAAAGGAAAGGTTGGAGGATGGATGGCGGCTAACAGATTGAGGTTAAATCCTGACATGACAGAAATACTGTTTGGAGGGGATGGGGCAGGCGTATGTGGGGGACTCCCTGATCCTGAATGGGGTAACTGTGCCCCTGAAGGACCAGGTGCGCAGCCTGGGAGTCATTTTGGACTCGCAGCTGTCCATGGAGGCGCAGGTCAATTCTGTGTCCAGGGCAGCTGTCTACCAGCTCCTTCTGGTACACAGGCTGAGACCCTACCTGCCCTCAGACTGTCTCGCCAGAGTGGTGCATGCTCTAGTTATCTCCCGCTTGGACTACTGCAATGTGCTCTACATGGGGCTACTTTTGAAGGTGACCCAGAAACTACAACTAATCCAGAATGCAGCAGCTAGACTGGTGATTGGGAGTGGCTGCCAAAACCATATAACACCGGTCTTGAAAGACCTACATTGGCTCCCAGTACGTTTCTGAGCACAATTTAAAGCCCTAAATGGCCTCGGCCCAGTATACCTGAAGAAGTGTCTCCACCCCCATCGTTCTGCCCGGACACTGAGGTCCAGTGCCGAGGGCCTTCTGGCGGTTCCCTCACTGCGAGAAGTGAAGTTACAGGGAACCAGGCAGAGGGCCTTCTCGGTAGTGGCGCCCGCCTGTAGAACACCCTCCCATCAGAAGAAATAAACAACTATCTGACATTTAGAAGACATCTGAAGGCAGCCCTGTTTCAGGAAGTTTTTAATGACTGACGTTTTAATGTATTTTTAATTTTTTGTTGGAAGCCGCCCAGAGTGGCTGGGGAAACCCAGCCAGATGTGTGGGGTATAAATAATAAATCATTACTATTACTATCCAGAAGGAGGAATAACCATGTTTACTGCCTGGGCTGACGTTACCAACCAATGAGCTCACAATGTGGTTGGGGTCCCCGGTTCAGTCCCATTCTTCTTTCAGTTCCATGTAGAACTTTGTCAGGTTCTGCACCATCTCCTCCAACTTATTAGCCTTGGCTCTGAGCTCATCTGCCTTTTCTGTCTTGGCCCCATTTGACAAGTCTATGGCACCCTTAGTAATGAAGTAAGCATCCAGTACAAGAAAAACCCCGGACGCCACGGCCCCTGCCACTCTAGCAGTCTTGCTCGCTGCGAGGGCAGTTCCTTTAAATGCCTCATCGACCTGATCAATCCCCTTGATTGCATTCCTGGCTACGGTCCCTACTGTACTTGCTTCCTTGGCCAAACCCTTCAAGACAGGATTAGTGTTAGCCACTGCCAATGCCTCTACATTTGCTGCAATGTCTGTCGCTTTGTCAACCACTGTTGGAATGAGCCCAGCAATAGCACAACCCGAAGTGATTGCCGTTTTGGCTACTTCCAGATTAGCGTTATCTGGGGGCAGTTGAGACTTGAAACCAATTTTCTCGAGGCTCAGCACCATTCTTAGGCTCTTCTCACATTCGTTTATCAGTTCTTGCGATTTTTTCTTCTCCATTGAATGAATAATGCTCTCGGACACACCAGCAGAAATGCTAGTTACTCCTGACGCTATCCCTAAGCCCATGCCTGTGGCTGTCAGGATTAAACTTGCGCCTGCTGTTACAGGGGTCAAGGCCAGTCCCACGATGGTCAGGATACCAGAAACTGCACTTGCAGAGCTGGCAGTAACGCTGGCAATGGTGCAATCCTTATGGGTCTTGTCAATGTCGTCTGCCCTTTCCCGAAGGCATTGGATGCACACCTCAATCTCTTTTTTCTTGTCAGGGAAATCTTTGAGAAAACGAGCAATAGCTTCATCAAGAGCTTTTTCTGAAGGCATGTTTCCTGCATTTCTGCAATTATAAATACATATTAAAAATGGGGCTAAAAGATAGGTCCCCTTCCCGCCCCCAAAATTTCCTGCATCCCCTACAAATCTGTGCTTCCTGAGAAAGCAGACATAAAACAAATGTGTGTGATGCATATAATTACAGAAACACATAGAATTCAGTATTTTAATTGAACATCTCTTAAGGAAAATGGTCTTCGGATGCAATTCTAAAAAGTGGCGGGGGAGGAGAACAAAAGGCAGGGACCCAACACATCCAATGCTCTGCTGGGCTCTTGCTAGAAGGCAGAAGTGATGGTGGTGCTCTAGTGCTCATCTCCTGTTTTGTTTTGCATTTTTATTTCCCCCCAAAATTCACTTCCTGAGCTCCAGAATTTGCATTGCTTCCCTCCTGTTTGGGGGCTTATTTTGGGAGAGTGGGTAAGCTACGGGTCCTTTAGATCAGTATGTTCCTCCAACCGGTTCCTTGCACACACCCTGACATGAGAGCAGCTTAATGCTTTGGGGGTTTCTGAAATGCTGGAGAGGAGATCTATGAGGTTGGGTTTCCCATTCTGTCTGCAAAAGAGTGGGGTCTGATCCTATGGTCCCTTGGGATGTCCCACCTAACATGGTCTGGAGGAACATGGAGGCACCTGGTGAACTGGGGCTGCTAACACCCCTTGGAAGATGGGGAAAGGGGCTGCCCTCTTTTTATTCTGCACAATATCCCTGGTCTTCAGGACTCAAAACAGGATCAGATAATAGTCTTTCTCCGTTTACTCAGCTGGGAAGTGTGAAGCCTCCCACTACTTTTTTTCTAGTTTATCTCACACACACACACACACACACACACACACACACACACACACACTTCAAGTTTATACATTTCACTAGTTTTATACATTTCACTAATTTGACATTCATTTTGACATTTCAAAACTTGACTTCCATCCCCCTCTTTCTGCAGTTCCTTAAATTTATTCTTCTGCATATCCAAATTAACTTAATTTGCTAATTTATTCATCTTCTTTAAATATAGACTCTTATAACACTACAGGTTGTTACAATAATCCTGCCGATGTTTTTATCTGTTTATAACTTATCTGTAAATATTCAATAAACCATTTACATTCTTTTATTAAAAAAAATTGTTATCTTGATTTCTTATTCTTCCGGTAAGTTTCACCATTTTTGCATATTCCATAATTTTTTGTATCCATTCTTCCTTTATTGGGACTTCTGCATCTTTCCATTTTGGGGCAAGTAACATTCTTGCTGCTGCAGTAGCATACATGAATAAGTTTCGATACATTTTAGGTAGTTCTGTCCCTATAATTCCCAAAAGAAAAGCTTCTGGTTTGTTTTGTTTTTTTACAAAAGTTACTTTAAGCATCCTTTTCATTTCATTATATATCATTTCCTTTCCCAGTAAGCTTTGACCTTACTACAAGACCACCACATACGATAAAAAGAACCTTCTTTCTCATTACATTTCCAACACTTACTTGATTTAGATTTATACATTTTTGAAACCTTACTCAGTGTTAAGATACCATCGATATATCATTTTCATATAATTTTCTCTTAGACCATAGCATGCTATAAATTTTATATCCATATTCCATAATCGTTCCCATGCTTCCATATCTACAGTCGTACCTTGGAAGTCGAATGGAATCCGTTCGGCTTCCAAAACGTTCAGAAACCAAAGCGCAACTTCTGATTGGCTGCAGTAAGCTCCTGCAGCCAATTGGATGCCCCATCGGACGTTCGGCTTCCAAAAATAGTTCGCAAACCATAACAATCACTTCCGGGTTTGCGGCATTCGGGAGCCAAAGCGTTCGAGAACTAGGCTGTTCGAAAAGCAAGGTATGACTGTACATTATGACCAATATCTATTGCCCAATGTATCACTGAGGATTCTGGGAGATGCTTTGGGCTCCTTTTATATGCAATGAACAAAGGTAACAATTAGAATACCGGCAGCTTGAGAACTACCTTTGGAATTCTGACATTCTCCAGCAGCAATTTGGGCAGGTGTCTCACAATTATTAAATGGTAAATTCGCTCTTCTCAGCTTGAGTGTACTTTAGTCTGGAAAGGAAAACAACTAGATAGTAAGGATGAAGGTGAACCAAGATAAGAAATCTCCCAATGAAACTAACTTCAGTAATAGCATTGTAATTCTTACAAACATCTGAACTTCGTACTTTAGCCATGTCTGTAAGCTCTTAGGACTGAGCTAGAAAATACTTTTGACCAAAATTTGCATTTATTATAAATATTTTTGCACTACACTTCAGTAAGAGTTGCCATGGTACGTTTTCGGGGGGAGGGGAATGCAAATACAATTAAAATGCAAATTTATTTATTTTTATTTAAACAGTTTATATACTACTTACCTACAATGGTCTCTAGGTGGTATGCAAACACACAACACATAAAACCATAAGTTCAGACTTATATTAAAATGCCTGCTAGATTTTATTTTTTTAAGTCATTGGAAGTTCAGTAGGGAGGGAGCTTGTCTGACCTCAACGGGAAGGAAGTTCCACAAAATTGGGCCCACAATAGGAAACATGCAGTTCCTTGTGCATACAAGCCATGCATCCAAGCCGTTGGGGATCACGAACTGTGGCTTCCTCCAAGATTTAAATAATCATAAAAACAAGGGGGGAAAGCAGAATATTTTTAAAAATATAAAAGGAAAGGAGAGGGACTAGCAGATTTAAAACTATGTCTGAAAAAATAGGAAAGCAAATGTTTTACCTGGTACCAAAATGACAATGGAATCTGTGCTAGGTGGAGAATGTGAACATACCAATAATTGAGGTGCCAATCCTCTGTTCCCCACCCACTACACCACATGGGACACAGGCAGTCCTTCAAGTATCTTGGCCCCACAATGAGATATGTTTTAAAGGTCAAAACTTTTAAAATTGGGTAATTGAGCCTACAGACTGACTGGAAACATAATCATGTAACCCAGACTCCCCCAGCTTGGGGGGCTCTATACCTGTTTTGAACTATATCTCCCTTCAGTCTCAGTAAGTCCAAAATTATCCCCGGGTTGGAGAAGGTTGTGTAACCCATTTAACTAGCTAGTATTTCAGCCCAGTGATATTTCCCATGCAAAGGAGAGAATGACAGGGCTATCCTTTGTCCCTAATGCTCTTTGCTTTATCTGTCAAGCTGTTAAGCTGTTAAGAGGGAATCCTAGCATAAAGGATGCTGGAATCTCTTTCATTTTTGCAGTACAGTGGTACCTCGTGTTATGTACTGTCCCCCTTACAAATCCTTCGGGTTACATGCTCCGCTAAACCGGACGTAGACGCCCCTTGTTGCGAACTTTGCCCCAGGATGCAAGCGGAAATCATGCTCCGGCGGCGCAGCAGCAGCGGGGAGGGACCATTAGCAAAAGTGCGCCTCATGTTACAAGCAGTTTCCAGTTATGAACGGACCTCCGGAACGGATTAAGTTCACAACCGGAGGTACCACTGTATGACATAACATCTGGGTTCAAAGGTAACTTACACAAAATCAAGAATTAAGCCAACCAATTTTTCTTTTAGGATTCAGGAAACTATTAAGTATGCCAGTGCAAATGTTTAAACACAGTATGAAAGTACCTAGGAGGAATCCTCATCATTTCAAACAGGGCCAATCTCTTAGAAAACAATTGCATTAAGCTAATTAGATCTATTAAGGCAGAGTTTAAAGAGTGGGGCAAAATTAAAGCTATTGTGGCTCATGCAAATCCACACACTTAAAACGGTTGTGTTGCCAAAGCTCCTGTTTTACTTTCAATCTAAACCAGCGATAATCCCCAGGAAATTAATTAAGAATTGGCAGAAGATACTGAGTGAATTCATGGGGAGTAGCGTCAAAGGCCAACATCTTAGGACAGGGATCTAAATGTCTCGAAACAAGTGTCATAATAATTGTGCAGCTCAGTTACAATTTGTTCATTTCTTACTTGATCCATCATGTCAAACCGAATGTCAGGCTTTAGGGGGGAAATGGACCTAGAAAGCTATACCCCAGAAAACCTCCAAACTAGTGCCTGCACAAGTTTTGGACAACAAGTCCCATTAGCACCAGTTGCCATTGTTTGGGTAATTCAAAACATCTATAGCAGGTGTGCAGAACCTCTGCTCTGCAGGCCAGATTTGAGTCCTAGTTTGACCTGTGAAGCCATTTCCCCCAAACCATGCCCACCTGCTGCACACCTGACATCATATGTGATGTCATGTATGGGGCAGGTATGAGGATGAGGATTTGTATACCGCCATACATCATAAGATTGCAGGACAGTGCACAGAATAAAATACAGGATAAAAACAAGTAAATAAGTAAAACAAAACAATACCCCCCCTTCCCACAGACACATTTAAAAGGCTGTAGAATATTAATCAGCCAAAGGCCTGGTTGAAGAGGAACGCTTTTGCCTGGCGCCTAAAAATATATAATGAAGGTGCCAGGTGAAGCTCTCTGGGGGAGAGCATTCCACAAACAGAGAGCCACTACAGTAGGCATAGGCAAACTAGACCCTCCAGATGTTTTGGGACTACCATTCCCATCATCCCTGACCACTGGAACGGTTAGCTAGGGATGATGGGAGTTGTAGTCCCAAAACATCTGGAGGGCCGAGTCTGCCTATGCCTGCACTACAGAGAAGGCCCGTTCTTGTGTTGCCATCTTCCAGACGTCACATGGAAAAGGCACACAAAGAGGGGCCTCAAATAATGAAGGCAGAGGCCAGGACGGTTTATATCAGTGCCGACTTTTCTTATATTCCATTTCTCATACTCAGGGGAGGGTGTCCATGCTAATGTCGTGAAAACAGCAACACTCATGCCCAGGAGGAACTTATCAGCAAAATGGTGGTGAAGTTTTTAGAAATATGCACACAACACAAAAAGGGCAAAAAAAAAACTAAGCAAGAAATTCCATTAACAGCCCTATGACTAACGATCATGTCCAGTCAGCACAGAAAAATTACTGTCATTTAAAGGGGAAAAAATGTAAAATCAGCAGGGAGGGGGAATGGAATGGAGTACTCTGGGGGAGGGCATGGCTGGCCTAATTGTACATGAGCTCATACTTCATACTGTAGCATTTTGATGCTGGCCCCACCTGTTAGTTTCCAGCAGAGTAGATGTGTTAGTTTGTTGTGGCAATGGAGTCTTAGCACCATAAAGACTAGCACAGTTTATTATAGACCACAAAACTTAATGTCATAATATGTTTTTCAAAGTGCCACAAGACCTTCTGTTATCTTTGCCCTATTTGTAGCGTCTTTACTGCTCGGTTTCAGCCGTGTGGCATTTTGTAGCCACTCTGCCACATGCTCCCAGGCCCAGCGCTGGTTTTGAGTTGGCAAGGGGACTTTCATCACTCATTTACACTGACATCATTTTTATTTTATTTTTTTATTGAAAAATAACTAAAACAACACGTCTGCCCCCTTTTTTGTAATGTACACAGTATCTTTTTTGTTGTTCTGTTTTGTTTCCTACATGGGTACTATTTACTGTTTCTTCTTTTACGGTGTCTTATCTTACTCTGCACACTTGTAATTTTGTACTATTTACACTGGCATTGTTGTGATAGTGGCAGAATTGGGATGTGGAAGAGGACCAAGAGCTTTTGTATGATGGCATGTTCCCCTCTGCTCCCTTTCAACAGCTCTCTTTACAGGTTACATATAAAAGTTTATTAATTATTATTATTATTATTATTATTATTATTACTACTACACAGGGAGGTTTACAACACACACACACACACACACACACAATGAATCACTTAATAAGAATAAGAATAATAAAAAACACTTTAAAAAATTCATAGGTTGTTTAAGCTTCCTCTAGAAGGTACTCTTAAGGAAGTGAAAGCATTCACTAGAGTCCCCTGCTGGTTGGAAGCATCTGCCCTTAAGGCTCTTATTGTTGACTGTGAAGGAATCTGTATGGAAGAAAAGAGGAGTTGGAACTGAATTATCCCTAGTGGGGAAAACAGCGAAAGCCCTGAAGGAGGATGGAATAATCTGGGCTGGGGCTGGGTGTGGTACAAGCAGGAAAATGCTGCAGGATATATCGTTTTTAATGGAGCATGAGGGACCAGGGCCAGGCTGCATGTTTCATGGGGGAAACATCGCAAGTGGGAGGCCTTGGCATGAGTAACAGGGTGGGCTTCCGTGGGGGCTATGCAGGCACAACTACGTTCCCAGCCTCAGGGTGCTGGAATCAGAAGAAACAGAAGCTTCAGCATCTGACAGAGGAAAATAGAGGTAAAATAGGCACTGAGGAAGTTAAACGAGGGAACCACACTTTGTTTCCACCAAAGAAATGTGGAACTCCTTGTTTTCCCCCATGTATGCCGTTTCTGAGTATACTCAGCCATATACACGTCCTCAGCGCCATATATTTCTCCTCTTCTGTTGTTAACTCAGCATCTCACGCAAAATACTATCATATTTGGAATTACGAAATTCAAAGAGCATTGTTTTGGCCTTAAGAATTAAAGTTAGGGAGAAAAGCTCCAGCTTTGGTCGATAACTCAGTACACATAAACAGAATGCACTCCCCCAACCTGTTCAAATAATGTGGAAATAGTTACTGCATTTATTAAGTAGGTGCAGTTTGATATTACATGTGTAGCAATGAACTTGATTGCCAACCTAAACTCTCCCACCAGCCTGTTCCACTTGCCTATAGCATAGATGTGGCACCTGATGCCCTCCAGATGTTGCTGGACTACAACTCCCATCGTCCATGACTGTTGGCCGTGCTGGATAGGACTGGTGAGAGTTGTAGGCCAATGACACCTGGAGGGCAACAGATCTTCTCTCACATCCACCAAGAACCCACAGGCTGCAGCCTAGGTGTTCCTAATAAAACAACCACAGTAGCTCACAGGTGCCACACCTGCCAATAAGGAAGCCGGAAGTGGATCAACTCACCAACCTTTTTCTCAGTTTTGCTGCAGGAAAATGAAAGCTATCTTCAATTCTCTCTAGTAACCTTCTCTCTCTCTCTTTCTCTTTCTCTATCTCTATCATACATACACCACCCCTCCCATCCTTGGTAGCTGTTGATAGGAACAAAGGAAAGACGAAAGCAAACACACCCAAAGGGCTGCTCTTTTTGACTGTAACCCAGTCATCCTCATCTGCTAAATTCGGGGTGCAGGGTGTGGATTCCCATGAACCCAAATTGCACCACCAGCACACAAGAGTAAGGCTCCAGCAGGTTTGGGGGAGTCACAAAGTTTGCAGGAGGACCAAAAGCAACAGACTAAGCATGCGAAACCAGCACGGAATCTCGATTTGATTGTTGGAGGGAAAACAACAAAGCTGTGTGTACGTGTGTGGAAATGGGGTTTTCAAGGCGGAGGCATAGCTGGCTGGAGCAATGCAAAAGAACAAACCATGGGCTCTGTCCGGCAGCGTTTTGTGGCAGGTTCCCCTCATCTCCCAACTCTCGGATTGCCATGCAATTCTCCTCCAAAACCTATTAAATATGCTATTAGACTCACCTTTCTGACTTCCGACTGCCTGTTTTCTACGACACGGTGGCTCAAAGATGTCTGATGAAGGGAAACCGAAACTGAAACGCGGGCGGATTTGGGACTTGTCGGTACACGTGAACACGCGAGAAGAACCCAATGGCAGGAGATGTTTGCCGTTTGGACGCAGGGGGGAGGGGGGAGGATTAAGTGCAGCAACAGAAGCTCGGTCGACGGTGCTCTTGTATTTGTTTTGAAAGACGAGAGGGTCTCCGCCAGAGCGCGGAGCGAGCAAGAAACTAAGTTGAGAAGGGGAGGAGGCTGGTGGACGAGTTTATGAAGGAAGAGCCCGGGGATGAGGGGGGATGCGAAGAAGAGAGGCTGCCTCCTCGTGCGCAGTCGGAGGCGCGGGGAAAACCCGTGCTGGGGCACAAATGGGCATCCAGGAAGACCCACGAATTCCACAGGCGCGGCCCTCTTGCCGGGAAGTCGCTGCGGCTCCTCGTGGCGAACTCGCGGAGATTGAAATCCCAATTTATTCCAACAGGAAAACCCGCCATTCCCCGCCCCCCGCGCATTTCCTGACAGCACTTCCAACAATTGTTCAGTAGCACCTTAGCAACCAACTAAGTTTGTTCTTGGTGTAAGCTTTCCTGTGCATGCACGAAAGCTTATACCAAGAACAAACTTAGTTGGTCTCTAAGGTGCTACTGGACAATTTTTTAAAAATCTTTTGACTGCGTCAGACCAACACTGCTACCTACCTGATTCAAGAACGCAGTTAATGTTGCAAACTTACTGTTCAGTCTTTTTCAGACGGATAGTGGCAAAAAGATTGTAATTGCTTGCTTGCTGTATTTTCCATGGGAAAATGCTCAGATCAGCTATCCCTGACCTTTTCCCCAACAACAACAACAATAATGTATTGTTTATACCCCACCCATTTGGCTGGGTTTCCTAAGCCACCCTGGGCAGCTTCCAACAAAATATTTAAAATACAATAAAACATCAAACATTAAAAACTTCCCTAAACAGGACTGCCTTTTCAAATGTCTTCTAAAAGTCAGATAGTTGTTTATTTCCTTGACATCTGATGGGAGGGCGTTCAACAGGGTGGGCGCCACTATCAAGAAGGCCCTCTGCCAGGCTCCCTGTAACTTCACTTCTTGCAGTGAGGGAACTGCCAAAAGGCCCTTGGAGCTGGACCTTAGTGTCCGGGCTGAACAATGGGGGGGGGGAGAGCAGGCCAACTACCCTGTGCAGAGCTAGAATGTGGGATCCAAATAAACTGTCAATAAAACCAATCACTTTAAAATGCTCTAGAACCTTTCAGGAGGGAGGGACCTGGAAAGGGCTTTAACAGATATCTCCATTTTGTTATAACTTACCTGTAGGAGTAATGGACACTAATAAGTGACCTGGAGTGGGTAGTGATATTGAAACTCTCCGATTACTTGGCCGCATAGATAACTCTCATGCTTGGTGGAACTTGAGCAGTTCCTGTCCAGCCCTCTGAATTCTTGTTTCTCTTACTATTCTTATTTTTTCGAGATGTTGGGAAATCGCCCATTATACTGAGGGTTGCCAACACAGTTAAAGCATCAGAAGGAAGGGCAGATCAAACGCCTGGAAAAACAGTATTTACAGCCTGCCTAAATACTGTAAAAGAAAGGACCAACCAAACTTCACAAGGCAGGAAGGAAGTTCTGCCTTGTGAATTAGAAAAAAAGAGAAAAACTTACTCTGCATCCCAGCCAAATTTGTCTCTGAGGCAAGCCAGATGGTGAATGCAGTGAGCAGGCAGGCTTACATGGAAGGAGGTGGTTCATCAAATGTCCCGGTCCTAAGTCATTCCGACTTAGTTGCTTATTAAACCAGCAATTTGCTTTGCACCTGGAAAGGAGCTCCAAATCCCAGACACCAGGGAGCTCTCCTCCTGCTGCATTTTTCACCCCTTGCAACTTCCAGACCTGCCCATTGGGACTGGTAGGGCAGAAGGCTGGGAGACTAACAGCAGGTGGCGCCAGAGTCAAGTAGTTTTCTGCACTAAGCCAGTTTCTACACATGCCCCTTTCTATCTGCACCCAGGCAACCAAGAGGCATTGTCAGAATTCCAAGGACACATTGCAACCAGGTAAAAACACTTAATGAAGCACATGAAGTAGGCCTGGTGTGTAGGTGTATGGGCTGGGGAGAGTCACATGGGTCAGATAAGAGAGGCCTGGTGGGCAGCATTGCTGGGCTTGAGTTTCTCCACATCTGCCCTAGACCATTTCCAGAGGTTGCATGATATAACCTGTGCCTCTTTAAGGAGGCAGAAGCTCACCGTAAGACTCCCTTGGCTGGCTTGATGTAATTTGTCTGAGTGACTTAGAAGATAGTTCATCCAGCTGTTTCCACTGGGTGCCGTGTAGGCCAATTTGTTAACTAACGGAAAAGATTTTATATCCTGCCTTTCTAGCAGTGTATAAAGGCAGCAGCAACCACAATCCATAAAAGCAGTGTTACAGGATGATGTTACAGCAGTAAAACAATTACAGCTATAAAAAGCCAGGGAAGCCCTAACCCAGTAGCAATAAAAACTGCAGAAATCAAATCAAACAATGGAAACACCTAGAGTAGAAAAGCAAACACAATACTTAACTAGCAGAACTAACTTCTAACCCCTCATAACTTGGGTAAATGGGGCAAAGTTTTGCCTGGGACAGACAACAAAGATGGCCCCAGGCCAAGTTTAATAACTGGGGTGTAAGTGCTTTCTCTTGAATTGCCTCCTGCCAAAATGACAGCGCAGGGAAGTTATAAAATAGCCTCCTTAATGAACATGTTGCAGTAGCCAGGTCTGGATATAACTAAAGACACGCCATTTCCTTAGTCTTGAAGTCTGTGCTAGTGTGTTTACTGGGAACTCGACTGCTTTCATCGCATCTCATCCGGAGAGGTCCTGAGGTTAATCTGAGATGCAGATTACAAACCAGATTCCAGTCTTAAAATGGAACATGGGGAAAGGAACGGTGCATTGCATCAATAAACAGCCAGCTTTCTTACTCCCCAATAATGAATGGGTTTCATTTATTTATGAAAAAGATGCTCCTATCAAATCACACCCAAACATACATGATTATTAAATAATAACACTGAAACTCTTTCAAACTCTTTCAAAATATGTAAACAACACTTGGAAAATAAATCAGAAGTTTAAAGCTGGAAAGGCAAGCTGTTCCTTGAAAGACCCATGGGAAACTTGTTCAGTAGGAACACCTTCCTTACTCAATGCCACTTCACACTTCTTCTTTTTAAGGGTATGTTCTGCAACATGCCATTGATGCAGTAATAATGCATTATTGGTTGGTATGTGTATGTATTGGTGGGTCCATCCATCCATCATTCCATTTTATTAGTTGTGATGCCTCCCCAATGTTACTGCATTATTGCCATCGGGGTGTGTGTGTGTGGAATCTTGTGTCACAATGTAGCAAAAGCAGAACAAACAAGCAAAACAAACCCTGGAATATTTGTGGTATGATAAGTTACAGGATTGCAGCAATATGGGACATACACCGATTGGAAATGAAGCAATATGTTCACCCCCCCCCCCATTTTTGCAGGCACAAACAGTGGGATCATGTAAAACTCTCCCAATACCATCATGAGCACAAATCATCATGAATGCACAATAAAAACAGCACCTGGAGGGGCTGTCAATGTTACCAGCCATGAGTTACTAATATAGACGACCAGCTTACTGAGTGGTTAATGTGGGCAAGACTTACCGCCTCATAAGGCCCCCAAACTAGAATCAACAGCAGGGTAAACACACAATCACACACAAAACATGCTTTCATTAATTCAGGCAACCATGCAGATCTATGGTAGAAAATGTCGACACATGGCCAAATGGGCATCTGTATTGGGCCAGAGTTTCTTGAAGAAATGTGAAGTAGATAGCTGCAAGTCAGAAACGATTCCACATATTTACCACGACCAAATACAGACTAATAGAGAATTGCGTAGTTCATGCACATGCCGTCTGTTTCTTCGCTCACTCTGATTCGCACACAAGGCCTTTCATTTCCTCATAGAGCCTGTCAATATGACGAAGTTCTTCTTCCAGTTTGCTAGCTTTCTTTCTTATCTCTGCGGCCGTTTCTGCCTTGGCTCCCTCGGTCAAATGTTTAGCATCCTGAACAATGCCATAGGCATCGAAGAGGAGGAACACCCCAGTTGATGCCGCACTCAGCAGCCTGGCCCCTTTGCTCATGGCAAGGGTGGTTCCCGCAAAGACCTTTCTGGCATGCTTGGCCCCTCGGATTGTACCCCGGGATCTGCTACCTGCAGCAGTGACTCGCTTTGCTAAATCCTTCAAGCCAGGATTGGCTCGGACTTGCTTCAATGCCTTTACATTCATTCTGATTCCCTTCACAGCCTTATACAGGTCAGGAACTTGACCGGCAACATTGGAGACAAGTTGTTTCATGTTTTCCCCCACAGCCCCGCTATTTGGGGGCGATCCAAAGCAGAAATCAGGATGCATTGCCTTTCTTAGACTTTTCTCACATTCACTCACCAGTTCTTGAGCTTTTTTCCTTTCCTGTGAATTATTCACGCTCTCATATAAGGTGGCAGAAAGGCCAGTCGCTGTGGCCACTGCCCCTAAACCGATCCCAGTGGCTGTCAAGATCAAACTCCCACCTGCTGTGATGGGGGCCAAGGTGAGTCCCAAGATGGTCAAGAGGCCAGAGGAGGCACTGGTAGAGTTGGCAGCAATGCTGGCAATAGTACACTTCTTATGGGTCTGGTCAATGTCATCGGCCATTTCCCAAAGGCATCTGATACACTTTTCAATCTCTTCTCTCTGGGTAGGGAATTCATTCAGAAATCGGGCAAAATATTCACTGTCTCTTTCTTCCCAAGGCACATCTTCTTCCATTCTGTCAAAAATTAAAATAACACATTTTAAACACACACACACCTTTTGATTTTTAGGAGGGCTGCTTTTGCACAAGTCTGTCTGAAGTCACTTCTGGACGGCCTGCTTAATGAGCATTCAGTCTGATTTGTTTGCAGAGATTAGATGCTGCTGCCCATTTAATGAGCATTTGTTCGGATTTGTTTGTAGGGACAATACATTATGCATCAAATCAAGGGTTATCCCACACTTTCCAGTGCCTTTTCCAATCACTTTCCATATCACAGAAGTCTGATATTGGGGGGAAGTGGGTTTGTTTTGCAAGAGCTCCAGATCAGGTGGACAACACCACACCTCATTGCATCATTTTTGTTTTTTGAATTGATTATAGAGCCAGGCAAGCCCTATCAAAATACACATCTGAGTGTGGATGCCCCATGCTGCTTGCAAGAGTAAGATGATGACCACTGTCAAATAAAAGGAATGTCAGTCGCAAATCTGATGCCAATGAAAAATATCAAGCTCTGCTACTGCTTTGCCATAGAAAAGTAGTTACAGATAAATAGCTAAATAAATGTCATTTCTGATGTTCGCTTTCTATGAGCATCCAAGTATAAATTACACATGTGCTTCATCAAGTGAAGGGTAATTGCCTGTAGAATTAAGCTTTTCTCTCTTTTAAAGTCTCAGGAACAATTGATGGTTCTTTTTCCAGCTGCCGCTCTTTTGAAAAGAGAGATGCTCACTCCATAATAATTTATGAACATCCCCACACAGATTGGTGAGGCTTTGTTGATTTACTGAAGGCAAAACTGAAGTCTAGGGTCATAATTTCCCCCCCCTCACCCACCAAGGCGTGTTTGCTGGAACTTTGCAAATGTGGTTGAGATTATACAAGAAAGGCAGTGCAAGAAATGGTTGTGTTTAACTTCTTTAGTAAGGTAAGCGTTCATTACTCTGGAGAACAGCTGCAATCATAAAAATGCATATTGCAAGCACCTGCTGTTTTTTGTTTTTGTTTTTCCACAAAAAGCCTGGTGTCTCCATAGCAAAGCTTTCCTTGCAAGAAGGATAGGAATGTAATGACCTCATGGAAACATGGAGAACTCTAAAAACTACTCGACCATTTCTTTTCTGGGAAATGCTCTTTCAGGGCAGTCCTACAAAAAATGGGGTTTTCTCCCATATGTGGGAATATTTTACAATATAGACTTTTATATATTTTCTAAAGCAATAGTCTGCCCAAAGTGGCACACAAACTTGTTTGGAATACATGGATGCATCTGAGGAAACATTGGTGAGGGTAGGTGGTGTGTGTGTGTGTGTGTGTGTGTGTGTGGAGAGAGAGAGAGAGAGAGAGGAAGGAAGGAAGGAAGGAAGGAAGGAAGGAAGGAAGGAAGGAACCTGTGTTCTACTATGTGAATTTAGAAGTATTCTAGGTGGGTAAAGGTAAAGGGACCCCTGACCATGAGGTCCAGTCATGACCTACTCTGGGGTTGTGACGCTCATCTCGCTTTCTTGGCCGAGGGAGCCGGTGTACAGCTTCCGGGTCATGTGGCCAGCATGACTAAGCCGCTTCTGGCAAACCAGAGCAGCGCACGGAAACACCGTTTACCTTCTCGCCAGAGCGGTACCTATTTATCTACTTGCACTTTGACGTGCTTTTGAACTGCTAGGTTGGCAGGAGCAGGGACCAAGCAACGGGAGCTCACCCTGTCGCAGGGATTCGAACTGCAACCTTCTGATCAGCAAGTCCTAGGCTCAGTGGTTTAACCCACAGCACCACCCGCGTCCCTATTCTAGGTGGGACCTGCAACAAAATATTTCAGTGTATCTTTCCTCTTAAAAGGAGAGCAGGGCATCCATTAAGCTCTCCCTCCAAGCAGAGCAGTTCCAATTTCCCCATCTTTACTGGGGTTTCCCCTGAACCACAGAACATTCTCGGTGTCTTCAATGGGGCTATTTGGTGGCTCTTTGCAGGGGAATCAAAATGTCCCGTTTTCTCGTCCTCCCTCCTTTGCAGGTATGTGTGTCTGCGTGACATTTTCCTTGTGGGTAAATATTTATTGTTTCTTATTCTATTGCCATGTGTTCTGCTTTTCTCACAAGGTGGCCAAGGTGACATGTACATGGCAGTAGGCTTCTGAATAGCAGCTGCTGGGAACCCCAGGGGGGAGAGTGCTACTGTGCTTGGATCCTGCTTGCAGATTTCCCATAGGGGTCCCATATGGCCACTGTGAGAACAGGAAGCTGGACTATCAGATAGAGGGTCCCTTGGCCTGATCCATAAGGGCCATCTTAGACTCTTATACACGGTGCACTCGAACACAATTTTATTCTCATTACAACCCTGTAAAGCAGGGGTCGGCAAACTATGGTCTGCGGGCCAGTTCTGGTCCAATTGCCCTCAGGATCCGGCCTGCAGACGGTCCGTGGATCAGTGTGGGGATTCTGTTCTTTAATTTTTTAATTAATTAATTAATTTAATTTAATTTTTTTGGCACCACCATTCCCCCCCCCAACACCTTTCCCCCCTCCTTCTCACACACCACGGTGCCTCCTCCCTCCCTCCTCCCGGCTTCTCCCCACCCTGCGTAGAGGAGAAAGGGGGCTGGGCTGAGCTGGCTGGCTGCCATTTTGAGCAGGGCCTCTCTGGAGCCAGCCAGCCCTTTCATGCCGCTCATCCCTCCGCCACTGCCGCTGCTGCCCTGGTGCTCCTGTGGGCAGTCCAGAACCCTCCCCGCTGGCTGCATGGCAGCGATCTGGTCTCTGCTGCCGGCGGGAGGGCTCCGAATTGCAGAAAGGCCTCTAGAGACCTTCGCGCAGTCTAGAGCTTTCTTCACCGCTGGTGTGGTGGTGATCTGGCCTCCGCTGCTGGCAGGAGGGCCCCCATCCCACCCCCAAAGCGTGGAAGAGGTGCTGGCAGCAGGAGGCCCAGCAGACCACAACATAGCACCAAACCCAAGTGAGGACTGCCCATCCAAACAATGACGATCATCAGTGCAGGTAAGAATTTTTTTAATTTTAATTTTTATCATCTACAATACTGTCTGGGCTGCCTGGTGCTCTTGCATGGAATGTGTCCTTTTAAAATGCACCTGTGGGTTATTTGTGGGGCCTGCCTGGTGTGCATAGTGTGCATAGGAATTTGTTCATCCCCCTCCCCCCAAAAATATAGTCCGGCCCCCCACAATTTCTGAGGGACAGTGGACCGGCCTTCTGCTGAAAAAGTTTGCCAAGCCCTGCTGTACAGTATGGTAACCTGAGAGATTAAGCCTGGCTCGAAGTTGTTCATGAGTTTTGTGGCTAAGCGAGCACCTAATTCTGGATCTCTCCAGTCCTTGTGCCACAATCTAACCACTACACCACACTGGCTTTCCAATATGTATTCTGGAAGAGATCGAATGCTGGCACATGTGGCTCATTTTGAATCATTCAGATGGGGTGGCCATGTTAACTGGACTCTAGCGCAAGACGATTTTGCTGCTGTGGCAGCACTAAGAGCTTTGGATGTCCCCAGTGTTGCTGTTAGGGCAGGACTTTGGGGCAGACCTCTAAAGCCCCACTCAACAGCTTAGGCTCCAGAGGGCTCCCACATGCAGGAGGGATGGCTTCCACATTTCATAGTAGCATCATAGAGTTGGAAGGAACTTTGAAAGGTAATCAAGTCCACTCTTCTTCCAATGCAGGTAGAAGCCACTGTCGTCTAAAGGTCCCCCCACATAAGATCAAAGTTTAAAATTACTTAATTGCAACAATTAATGTATATTTTATTTCCTCCCCCACACGGTCATTGTGGGCAGTACATTTGTAAACATATCTTCACATAAGATGCTTAAAAATAGCAGTAATTGCTGTTGTTATGCCTCTTTTAGACACCAGTATTACCCTAGTCAACTGTCCCTTTCTACAAAGACTGCTAATACAATCTGTCCCCTCTCCCAACTTGTTTTGTTACTGGGAGAGATTGTGCAGGTGGATCACACTTATCAAAATATACAGCTAGGTTTGGATGTCCCAGGGCGCTTCCAAGAGTAAACAGAGTGCATTCTGGGATATTAGCAGGGAGTTATATGCCTGGTAGAATAGTCATCATCAGCAAACTGCCGCTATCAGTTCAAAGGAATGTCAAAGTCACTTAGCTGACGACATTCGTGGAATACATGAAGAAATGCTTTGCTATGCTGCAGAATAGGCAGCCCCCCCCCAGCAGGCATTTTGATGCTTCCGGTCTTCCTGAAATAGTGTAAAACCAAAATAAGGATTGTTGTAACTTTAAAAAATAAAATTAAATTAAAATGCCACGCTTCTTCTGAGTTATTCCACCTCCTTGCTCTGCACGTATTTGTGTAAGCACTTAGTTCTTAAGAGATTAATTGAGCTGAAATTAATCCTGTAATCCTCTCTAAAGTGGGGATAGGAAAGTGGTTCAAGACCCAAATGGGAGGAAGCCATCAGAAGGTAAAGAACATGAACCTAAAAGTAGCTTGCTAGGCCCTGGATACCACGAAGAATTAAACGCCACTCTCCAAAGCTTAGCTGGGCAGCTTTTTGTGGAGTTTCCTTTTGAGTTAATTTGGACCAAACTGAAAGAAGTGGCGAATTAACTGAATGAATGAAGTAGGCCAGGATTCCACAACAAAAGGAGTCACATGCACAAAAACATCCCATATAGACCAAAGCCCAATAATGACCAAGGCTGAGCATGCAACTTCAGATAAGACCCTCAAATAGGTTTCATCTGGATTGAGCCTCTGAGCCAAACCTGCCAATCCACTGAATTCTTCTGGGATGTACTGCCAATGTCTGCATGTTAGCAGTTTATCTAGCATCCTTGTCCTGCCACTGCTGTAGTCATTTCCCCTTGCTGCCCACATTTCGAATTCATTGCACCATGGATGAGGAACGTGGGGCCCTCCAGTGGTTCAGCTCCAGCTCCCATCAACCAGCATGACCAACAGTTAAGGATGACAAGTGCTGTATTCTGATGGAGTCTGGAAGGCCCCAGGTTTCCCATCCCTGCCCTAGTCATGTACACGAATGTGCCAGATCATATGGCAGTATAACAGTTGCCAAGAGACTCCAGCACAGGAGCAATATACACAACAACGAATAAGGAACTTGCATCTTTGTCAGACAGAGGACTGCCATCTGACAGCCATTCTGATGGATGACTGTGAAATAGGACACACAGCGAAGGGTGGAGATGTTTGCCTCCATTTCATGCTATTTTCTAAGTGTCTCCCTACCCAGAGTAGCTGCTGACGAGGTCTGTAAAGTAGACGTTTTTATTACTCTGATTGTTTGCTGCCTAATGACGTTAACAGTTTCTTTTCACTTTATGACTGGGAGTAGCCATGTGGTGTTATCTGCTTGTGTAGTTAAATCTGCTAAATGCTTTTTCAAGGAAAAACACCCCTGTTAAATGCTTTTGCAATCATGGACGATGATTAACACACCAAACAATGCTGAGAGTGGCAAGCATATATGCTATTGATGGGTTACCTCTCAAGTTCGGCCATGTTCTCCTTGCAGTCTTCACCTTCATCAAGGAGACTTTGCAGCTCTGCATAATCTAGTCTGTCCGGCCAAATTTCTACGCTTCCCATAGTGTGGTTGTCGCACTCAGCATCTTCTAAATGAGGACAAAAGAGAATAGCCAAAGCCCTCGTTATGCAGAGGGTCATCACAACCACATTGCAACTTACAAAGTCTAGGAGGAACTATACGATAAAAATAATTAAAAATAAATCACAGAACAAAAGGCTCTGCAAAAAAAGCACACAAATAAAATCAGCAGAAAACATAGTGGCTGAAACCGTTCCAAATCCACATGAAGCACAGCAAGGGGAAGTTTGGTGCAAAGACTAAAGCCCCCAATAGAATCTAACTGAAAGGTGTGGGAGAACAGCAAGGCCTTTTCCTGTGAGAGGGTAGGACTAGCCAGCTGCAATTAGAGATGGGGGATAACTTTGATTCAGTTTGCATTTAAAGGCAAACCTACCTAATTCACTCTTCCAGAAGCAATATGGGAATCAAAACACAGCCATCCTACAAAATTTGCTTTTCTCTGAATTTTGCGAAGCTGTTCTCCAGCCAAACAGTGCTTACAGACATGCATATATTGGGAGAAAGTCTGCATGGAAGTTAATGTAGTAGTGAAAATCACACACACACAAAATTATTTACATTGGGGAAAATTGCTTGTAATAATAATCATCCTTATATCTGTACCTTGCCCATCTGACTGGGTTGACCCAGACACTCCCACAGATGTAAAAACATAATGTGTACATTAGTCACAACTGCATACAAAAATATGTTTATTAGGAGAAATTCACAATAAAAAGCTGGTGAAATTTCATGAATATTTTTTTTTAAAAAGAAAAGAATCACATATTTCTGCAGAAATGAGGAGACTGGAAAATGGAGAAAATGAGAGAATCAAAACTGACAGGCCCCTTCATTCTGCAGCTGCACTTCTGATCAGGAGAACATCACACTGCAACATTTCATTGCAGTGCCCACTTGTACTACTAATAACTGACACTTCCTCATGCTCTCTGCACAAATGGCTTGTTTGCAACAGAGGAATGTTTGTGAAACCCTGCTGCCTTTGACATGAGTCAAACAGGATCAGTGTGACAGGGTGGGGCGACTCAATCTCTCTGGCCCCAGAAGGTTGTGAACATTCATACCCTCCCAGTCTAGGCAAAGAAAATAATCAGAACCCCAGCAGAAGCTTCTATACACCATGTCAGTCTATTTGCCTGTCCAGCCGAGTATTACCTGCTCTGACTGACAGCAGAGAGAGCTCTTTGCCATCACTTGACCCTTTTAAGAAAATGCCAGGGATTGAATTTGAGCCCTTCTGAACGCAAAGTATCTGCTCTACCGCCCCTGAGCTAAAACTCCCCCCCCCCCAAGAGACCTACCTTCATAAATCCGACATCCTTCAGAGGCCATTCTTATAGGAATCTTGTGGCGAAAACCTCTCGGCTTTGGTATATTTCAAGCCTGGGAAAGGAAAAAAAGAGTGCAGAAAATGACAACGAAGGCAGATCATGTCAAAATCTCAGCAATAGCAGAATTGTCATCGTTACAGTTCCAACCATTTTTAAATGTACAGTGGTACCTCGGGTTAAAAACTTAATTCGTTCCGGAGGTCCGTTCTTAACCTGAAACTGTTCTTAACCTGAAGCACCACTTTAGCTAACGGGGCCTCCCACTGCTGCTGTGCCACCGGAGCATGATTTCTGTTCTCATCCTGAAGCAAAGTTCTTAACCCGAGGTACTATTTCTGGGTTAGCGGAGTCCGTAACCTGAAGCGTCTGTAACCTGAAGCATCGGTAACCCGAGGTACCACTGTAATTGAATTACTGAATTCAGTTTTAGCCTGGTCTCTACATTCTTTGCACACATCTGAACCTAGAGATTCCTCACACTCAAGCTGTGTCTGTGAGGCGTAGGAATACAAGAGAAGTCCTGCTGGATCAGGCCAGGAGCCCATCTAGTCCAACATCCTGGTCTCACAGTGGCCAACGGGATGCTTGTGGTAAGGACCTGAGCACAAGAGCACTCTCTCGCCACCTTGTGGCTCCCAGCAGCTGCTATTCAGACGTACACTGCCTCCAACAGTGGAGGGAGAGCAGACAAACTGGGAAAAAAATAAGTTTTAACTGTGATGGTGGTGCATAGGCATCCTAAGACGAATAAATCCTAAGGTTATGGAGGAACTAGATGAAAGGCTTAAGACTAGGGATGGAGCAGAAATTTGATCCAGTTTCCATAAAGGTATTCACATTTTCTGAAACAGTATGCAAACCAAAACGCAGCTATCTGAAATTGGCCCTTATCCAAATGCTGCAATGCATTTCTCCAGCTGAGCAATGGACTTACTTCTGTGTAGACCTGGTTAGGACCCCTGTCCTCTGTAGCTTTTCTCCCCATGGAAAACCCTCCTGTCAAGGCAACACCAAATCTGTTTGCTGGCTGTTAGGTTGGCAAGATCAACAGAACGGGACCCAGACAACCCTCTTCGGCTTACCTTTTTGATTTGCCTGGGTGACTTCTGCTAAACTGATGCGCAGAGCAGTCTAGCAGTAGGTGGAGGAGGTGTGTTCCTGGTTAATAAGTAGATGAGAATATTGACATTTGCAGTTTGCACAAACAGCAGACAACTGAGTGTCATCAGAGGCCTCTCAGGCATAGGAAGACACAGTAGGTTTGAAAAATACAACTAGGCTGCCAGTAACAGCCTCCTTAATACCCGTAGGGTCGAATCTGTCATTCTTTGAATCTTGAGTTTGGTTCTCCACATTTTCACACTTTTATTATTTATTTATTTTTAAAATAGCCTTATGAAAGTTCAACAGCATTTAGTGTGAATTTATCCTAGTACACACATTTTTGTATGTGATTTCCCCTAATATATGCACATTACACAAAACAATTTCCTTGGTATAATGGATATTTGTATGTTATCTTCACTAATATATGCATACTTTTTAGTTATATGCATTGTTGTACACGTTACTTGGCTAGAGAACTGCACTGCAAAATTCGCCTGAGTGCAAATATTTGAAAGGGTTTTCAGTTCACATAGTATTTCCGAAAGTGCAAATCGGGTAAGTTTAAAATCAGGCAAGTTCACCTTGAAATGTGAATGGAATTAAATTTCTCCCCCATCCCTAAATAACAATCCTGCAGTAAAAGGGGGAGGTAGCTACCATATAGCCTGCACATATAGCAGTTCTTGTGACTACCAGCAAATAGAGGCAGTGTGGTGTAGTGGTTAGAGTGTCATTTGAGAACTATGGAGACCCAGATTAAAATCCCCTCTTCATCCATGAAGTTCACTGACGATCTTGGGACAGACACCCACCCTCTGCCCAATCCATTTCATGGGATGTTGTAGGATAATATGGAAAGGGCAGAGTCATGTATGCCCCAATGAGGGTGGTTTTTACTGGGATCGCAACCCAAGGGTGAGGAGGGTTAAGAACTCCCCCTTCCAAGATGATAAAGACAGGCCCCCTGAGCAGCAATGAGGCTTGGAAAAATACACACCAATGGGAACTCTCCTCTACAAAGCTAAATGCAACACTGGGCGGGGTGGAGACACAATGTTATAGAGATCACACCTGGGGAGCAAAGGGTTCAGCCTTCCTTGTGCATTTTAAACCTGTGGGGGTCCTGCAACTATAGTTGTGCATTTAGGGAAACAGAAATAGTTGAATGCTGTGCATTTAGCGCAAGGGTAGCCAATGTGATTATTGAACCCCATTCCTATCAGCCCCAGCCAACATTGCCAATGAACTGGGCTTTGTGGGAGTTGTAGTCCTGAAACAGGCAGAAGAGGGTTCCACGTTGGCTACCTCTGATTTAGCACAACATGCTAGGTTGCAGGATGGAAGGATTCCCACGGAGAGAAACTTGCTCGTTTAAGCAACCTGCGGGGAGGAATAATCTCTTTATGAATGTTTCTGTTTAAACCTTGAGCACAAAAACCACAGCAAGAGTCAAGAAGATAATCCCAAGATGACGTGTGCAAGGGAGGGCGATTGCGCATGTGTGCGTGGGAGAGCCCCATTCAAAAGAAAAAAGGAGAAAAAATGATGACATATCCAGAATGAAAAGAATCCATTTCGGCCAAATTATCACTGGTGTGCTAATTTTTCTTACAGAGCAAATTGCCAGACTTGTAATTACAGTACAGTAAATGTGTATGTCATGACTCTGTGAGTAATTTCCATATGTGAGTGGGAACGATGAGAAATGCAGTAAGCTGCTTATATAATACACCTCTTTGTTCCGAAACGTATTCTGGCTGATCAGACAAGTGCTTAGGCTGTATGCAGCATGCATCCAGCCACACTGTTCCCCCCCCCCCCCAGATACTTGGGAGAGATCCTGCAGGCCTCTTAGTAATGAGTGAAATGTCTAGAAATGAAAGGGGGTCCAATAGAAAGTGTTGTGAATGTATGGAGGCAAAAGCTGAAGCGGTTTCAGCTGTGCTTATCTGTAGCCCTACTCAAGCTAGAATATGGCACTGTAAAGGTCTGGGGCATGAATGGCCAAGCCAAGGGGAAATAAACATTGACTGTAGGATATGGTGGGGGTGGAGTACACACCTGTTTTACTGTCAAGGACTGCATTGCATTGGGGTACTGGTAGTAATCTATTGATAGACCTTGCAGCTTGGGTGAATTGGATTGGAATAATCACTTATGGTTTATGGAGTTCAAAGGCTTTATTCATGCAGGAACTATTTACAGGATGAGCGGAGAGAGAAAATAGCGCACATCTAGTCTGGAGAGAACAGCAAACAAAATGGCTCAACTTTTTAGAGGTGGAGTTAACTTAAGCATAGTTAACTTACAGACATGTGCTAGCTAGATTACTACACACCAGGGCTTCCGGTCCTGCCTGCCTTAATGGAGGCAGCCCCCACGACAGCAGGGGATCATCGGCGAACAAAAAACAAGGACGTCAGAGGGTAAATCATCCTTGCAAATTCCCCCCAGGGATAGGGGGAATGGGCTTCACTCACAGTTTGTCTCAGTACCTGGCTCTCGCTCCAGCATGGAATGGAATGTGGGAGGCAGGGAGGTGCTGAGTGCAAAAGCACTTCACCTGGCAAAACCCCTCCTACGCCACCATTAAGAAGCAGAGGTTCTCCATTTAATTGGATCTTTAATAATAATAATATAATAATAATTTATTATTTAATTGGCTTTAAAATACAGGTGCATGATGGAAAAGAGTTGTAACAACATACTGCAGAATATACCAGCTACATGGATAAAATGTTTGAATTGAGATAAGATTTTCTTCGGCTTGAGAGTTAGTTTGTTTATTCTAAGCTTCTTTTATATATTTATGATTTGGCAACCCCCTCTGGAATATAAGATAAGATAAGATATTTACAATTGAGGAAGGGACGCTGGAGTAATATTGATACAGTGGTACCTCGGGTTAAGAACTTAATTCGTTCTGGAGGTCTGTTCTTAACCTGAAACTGTTCTTAACCTGAAGCACCACTTTAGCTAATGGGGCCTCCTGCTGCTGCTGTGCCGCCGCTGTGTTGTGTTTTTCTGCTTCAGGGAAGATGAGCTTGCCTATCGCAGTCTCTCCTTTGTTGAATAACGAAAGCAGGAGGGTTATTTATGCCATAAAGGTAAAGAGACCCCTGACCATTAGGTCCAGTCTTGGCCGACTCTGGGGTTGCGGCGCTCATCTCGCTTTACTGGCCGAGGGAGCTGGCGTACAGCTCATGTGGCCAGCATGACTAAGCCGCTTCTGGCGAACCAGAGCAGTGCACGGAAACGCCGTTTACCTTCCCACTGGAGTGGTACCTATTTATCTGCCCCAAGCCATGATGGGAGAACACAACAGCTGGGAAGTGAAAGAGACAACACCATATATGGACAGAAGGAATCTCCATGGATGTAACAGTTTTCACACGTAGGGCAGAATAAAGATAATAGTTTGAGTTCCTCACTTGAAGCTTTAGAAATTTATATATTGTAACATCATGAATGGAAATCATTAGTTTTGTAGCTGTTGACTAAGGAATTATTATTATAACTGAAATGTAACTGACATTAATTAAGATTATGGAATGCAGTGATATAAGATCGGAAATGCACCTGAGCCACCATGTGGGGAGCCAGTTTAACTAAAATGTATTAATTGGAAGTTGATTGGCATTTTGATACTTGAATAATTTGGGAATTATAATTTGGCCATTATTGAGGGTATATTGGAAAACTAATTAAAAATATATATATTAAAAAGATTACTACACAAACAGTGCCCTCACTTGTTTAAACTAACACATGCATTAACTAGGAAGTTCAGGAGAAGGAAATGTATTTGCTTTCCTCCAGCATCTATCAAGGGCTGAATGCTGGAAGTGGACAGGGCCAAAGTCAGTGGGTGGCAGGTCTAGAACCACAAGCGGGCATGGTCTCTCTTCTCCCCCCCCCTTCCTGCCACCCCTTCTCAGTCTCTCTGTCACACCTTTCTTCCCCCTCCCCCTTGCTAGGGGAGGGATATCTTTTACCAGAGGCCTGAAACGATCAATTGCAGATGGCTATTCTACCCTCCTCTTTCCATTCCGCCATACATTTTGCATCCCTTCCCAATTCCTCCACTTCCCTTCTCCCACCCCTCCAGGCTTCCATGTCCCCCTCGCGCTGTATAAAACGAGTCTGAAGGTTGCATAAAATCAGGCCAGAAGCAGGTTGTCCAGTCCTGCCTTAGGAGAAGGCCAACTGATACCACAATCAGAAACGTATATCTGAAGGAGCGTCTCCACCCCCATCGTTCTGCCCAGAAACTGAGCTCCAGCACCGAGGGCCTTCTGGAGGTTCCCTCACTGCGAGAAGCGAAGTTACAGAGAACCAGGCAGAGGGCCTTCTCGGTAGTGGCACCCGCCCTGTGGAACACCCTCCCACCAGATGTCAAAGAGAACAACAACTACCAGACTTTTAGAAGACATCTGAAGGCAGCCCTGTTTAGGGAAGCTTTTAATGTTTAACAGACCACTGTATTTTAATACTTTGTTGGAAGCCACCCAGAGTGGCTGGGGAAACCCAGCCAGATGGGCGGGGTATAAATAATAAATTATTATTGTTATTATTATTATTATTATTATTATTATTATTATGTGGCTCTGTGCCCCCTCTGGCTGCAGGGGGAAAGTCCTGGATGTGTGTGTGTGTGGATTCTCTTCATCTCAGGCCAGCCGAGAAGCAGAGTGAGCTGCAAAAAGGAGGAGGGACAGAGAAATCAGCCTGTGCTCTGGCAGCCCCGCTGTGTTTCCATGCTGGTTGCAATGTGAGGGGCATTTCTTCCTTTGCAGCCAGCAGGGGAGCTGCCAAGGGGAGGGCAGAGCAATCTGTGCCTCCTCCAGTAGCTTGCTGTGTTTTTAAGCTGGAGAGCACCAAGCGGTGCTCAGATTTGTGTATGTGTGCTTCTCTCTCCCCTCCCCAACCAACGCAAGAGAAATGAAAGGGATATAAAGGAGGCATGAATGCTTCTTAGTAGCAGTTGCTGGGAACCACAGGAGGGGGAAGAGGACTCTTGTGATTGTGTCCCGCTTGATGGCTTCACACAGGCATCTGGTTGGCTACTGTGAGACCAGGACACTGGACCAGATGGGCCACTGGCCTGATCCAGCAGGCTCTTCTCATGTTCTGACAAAGAACATGTGGAGGGATCAAAATGTCAGGAGCTTGTCCTACACTCGATTGGGACCCTGGCAGAGACACATGCCCGACTGGCATGTTCTCTCCCTCCTGGTCGTTCGTTCGGGAGCTTCAAAAGCTTTCTTCTGCCCAAACAGCACAGCAACCAATGCCAACAGACATCGGCACACTTAGGGATCCGCAGAGTTTTCGTAGTTGCGTAACGGATCTCAGCAACTCAGCATTTTGGCTAATCTACTTTATTTACATATAAACGCACACGGAGCACTGCAACATGGCTCCCTCTCTCTCTAGCATCAGACAGCAAAGAGAAAAAGAACAAAGGATACTAGTCCCACTTCACGGAACACAGTAACGCAAACATCCTGTCTCCGTCACTTCCCACTTTGTGGAGTCAAAATATACACCATAGAATCATAGAATCATAGAGTTGGAATAGACCACAAGGGCCATCGAGTCCAACCTCCTGCCAAGCAGGAAACACCATCAGAGCACTCCTGACATATGGTTGTCAAGCCTCTGCTTAACGACCTCCAAAGAAGGAGACTCCACCACACTCCTTGGCAGCAAATTCCACTGTCGAACAGCTCTTACTGTCAGGAAGTTCTTCCTAATGTTTAGGTGGAATCTTCTTTCTTGTAGTTTGGATCCATTGCTCCGTGTCCGCTTCTCTGGAACAGCAGAAAACAACCTTTCTCCCTCTTCTATATGACATCCTTTTATATATTTGAACATGGCTATCATATCACCCCTTAACCTCCTCTTCTCCAGGCTAAACATGCCCAGCTCCCTTAGCTGTTCCCCATAAGGCATCGTTTCCAGGCCTTTGACCATTTTGGTTGCCCTCCTCTGGACACGTTCCAGTTTGTCAGTGTCCTTCTTGAACTGTGGTGCCCAGAACTGGACACAGTACTCCAGGTGAGGTCTGACCAGAGCAGAATACAGTGGCACTATTACTTCCCTTGATCTAGATCCTATACTCCTATTGATGCAGCCCAGAATTGCATTGGCTTTTTTAGCTGCCGCGTCACACTGTTGGCTCATGTCAAGTTTGTGGTCAACCAAAACTCCTAGATCCTTTTCACATGTACTGCTCTCAAGCCAGGTGTCACCCATCTTGTATTTGTGCCTCTCATTTTTTTTGCCCAAGTGCAATACTTTACATTTCTCCCTGTTAAAGTTCATCTTGTTTGTTTTGGCCCAGTTCTCTAATCTGTCTAGGTTGTTTTGAAGTGTGATCCTGTCCTCTGGGGTGTTAGCCACCCCTCCCAGTTTGGTGTCATCTGCAAATTTGATCAGGATGCCCTTGAGTCCATCATCCAAGTCGTTGATAAAGATGTTGAATAAGACCGGGCCCAAGACAGAACCCTGTGGCACCCCACTAGTCACTCTTCTCCAGGATGAAGAGGAACCACTGATGAGCACCCTTTGGGTTCGGTCAGTCAGCCAGTTACAAATCAAAAATAGACAAAAATCCCATGACTGCAATCATGGAGCAGGAATTCTAACACAAAAGACCTGGAGAGTTGGTCTGGGCTTGTGGGAGGGAGGAGGTGTGTGCAAAGGTACTGGATGGGGAGCATTTTAACCCTGAATGATTGGCTTCAGATTGTGGGGTGGGAGGGAGAGAAAATGTGAATGGGTGGGGGGGTGGAGAGGGAGGGGGAGAGAGAGCAATGAGAGGGGTGGTGGTGGTAGATATAGAAAGCGAGAAGGCTTGTGGTTCCTCAACAGATTACCTAGATGCTGTATGGTTAGAAGAATTTATACTGGGCATAATGGACTATTAAAAATAGCTACCATTTCCCTACCATTCCTCCCAGGTAGAAATATTAGGGGGCTTTTCACATTTAAGCTTCTATTGCATACAAATCTGCCTCGAAGGTCTGTGCTACCCAGTCTCATTTGACATGTACACATTTGCTCAGGGATAATTAATGTTAATGCTAATAGCAATTCGCATCTTGTTAATCAGCTGTTAATTAGCCCACCTGCTACCTTCCCTCGCTGACTTTCCATCAATCTGGATAGTTACTCTGCACTTTAGATCCTCCTGGTTCATAGAGGTGGATATAGAACAACTGTATTGCTTCCAGTGTCTTATGCTAGCTCGGCAGCCTTTCCTCACACCACAGGGTGCAGCCATAAACATTCTTTTTGCATAGCTCACTGGCGTCATAAATTATTTTAGGCTGAATTTTGCATTGAACGAAAATGAGTCTGCACTTGCCGCAATTCTCCCTTAGGGCCACCAGATGGCAGTAGATCATGTACAACAGATGCAAGACTGGGATTAGCAGCAATAAGACAATAGCCTGTGGATATTCAGCTTCAAGACTGTTTTTAGGGTACCTCTAAAGTAGCAACAGGGAATGTGTGGCCCTCCAGACTCCAGTTCCCATTGCCCCTGACCATAGATCATGGGCTAGAGCAGGCATCCTCAACCTCGGCCCTCCAGATGTTTTGAGACATTTCCCATCATCCCTGACCACTGGTCCTGCTAGCTAGGGATCATGGGAGTTGTAGGCCAAAAACATCTGGAGGGCTGCGGTTGAGGAAGCCTGGGCTAGAGCTGATGGTGGTTGGAATCCAACAATGTATGGAAAGCATGTGTTTCTTATCCCCGATCTAATAATTTCTACTGCAATTTCACGGGTAATCTAGATCTAGATCAGTAGATCTAAAGTAGATCTAGATCAGGCCAAATCTGGAACAAAAATCCAAAGAAAACGTAACTTCCTTGCCACCAGTATTTATTCCTGACCCTGATGTTTGGTTATCCCCCACCCCACATGGGTCACAAAATGTTATCAAGGACCCTGTGTTGGGTCCAACATAATATGACCCTTCTGCATGTTGTTGGCCTCCAACTCCCATCAGCCCCAAGCAGTGTGGCCAGTGATCAGGGTGTGTGTCTGTTTTATTGGAGCTTATGTCCCCCTCGGGGCTATTGCCCTCACGTCCTGCTTGTGGACTTCCCATGGGCACCTGGTTGGCCACCATAAATGGAACTAGAGACCCTTTGCTGTGATCAAGCAGAGCTCGTCTCACGTTCTTAGTATGATCATATCTCCTCTGCCATGCAGCCATCTGCCATTAAGTTCTGAATGTACCCGCAGGACCTGCCCTTCCCAGCCACCATAAGTTACTTCAAAACTCTTGTTAATATGCAGGTTTTCCCTAGGCATGTATTCAATGTAGCGCTACAAAGCTGTCCTATCCAGGATTTCCACCTGGCTAATGGGACTTTTCTTCCCATGCGTCCTTTAAATACAAACTTTTTCAGATAACTAAGTTACATGGACAAACAAAGAAGAGAATTACGGTTTTCAGTTTCTATATTCACATATGATATACGCAGCAGTTAAAATCCTTTCTACAGTTCAGTTTTACATCCTGAATCTGATTTTCATAGCAAGAACAATCTAATAGATTCATTACATTTTCAATCATTGGATCTGTCAGGGATTCCTTAGCTGTGATTCCTGCGTTGCAGGGGTCAGACCCTTCCAACTCTACAGTTCTACAATTCTATGATTTAAATCAGGCATAGGTAAACTCGGCCCTCCAGATGTTTTGAGACTACAGTTCCCATCATCCCTGACCACTGGTCCTGTTAGCTAGGGATGATGGGAGTTGTAGTCCCAAAACAACTGAAGGGCCGAGTTTGCCTATGCCTGATTTAAATATATTTAATACTGGTGTCCCCACCCCTTTCTAAGGAAGAGGAAATGTTTTGCAGTTGCTCAGTCACTGCAGAACATGCTGCTGAGGCTTGCTAATCATGACAGCGGCACCTGAGCAACTGCCCTCTGAGAAAACAAGAGGCCAACTGTGGTGTTGGTTCAGGAGCGGGAATGCAGATCTAGGCCAACAAGTACACAAGGTTGATCTTCCGTTGTCTTACACCTCTGACAGTTTTCCACATTCACACCATACATTTAAAATACTACGATACCACTTTAAACAGTCATGACCTTCCCCCAAAGGATTCTGGGAGCTGTAGTTGGTTAAGGGTGCTGAGAGTTTCCCCATGTCCTTTCACATAGCTACAGGCCCCAGAGCTCCCTGGAAAAAGGGATTGATTGTTAAACCGCTCCTGGTATTTGTAGCTCTGTGAGGGGAATCGGGGTCTCCTAACAATTCTCAGCAGCCTTAACAAATCACAGCTCCCAGAATTCTTTGGGGGAAGCCACGACTGCTTAAAACGGCATCATAGTGCTTTAAATGTATGGTGTGAATATGGCCAGTGACGCACAGTTGGCAAAAATACACAGGATGGGCACTCTCACTCTATCAGTCCTTGTTGAGAGAGCACTCAAGGACAAGTGGGTGCCTGCTGAAGAACATGGGCAATCTTGGCACTCTTGAAACTGTAGTTCTGAGGGCAGGGGACCAGTGATTGAAGTTTTTATTTTTAATTAAAAGTAGCTGCAAATCTCTGGCTTTTCTCCCAGCAAAGGCTCTGATGTAGCGGGTATTTACCCACTACTTCATGCACAATTTTCCTCATCAAATGTTGCTATTAGCCCCTTCTGTGTGTGTTTGTGAGTGTGAAGTATCTGTAAGCTCCACACGCCACAATAACGCTAGTAGGGTCTGATTTAGGTATGGGAAAAGGCACGGTGGGATGGGAGGGAACCATTTAAATGCACACTACCGAGTGCCGCTGTGCAATCTGTTGTTTGGTCCTCAAATATGCGACTCAAAATTGTGGCATCTCCTGTGTTCTCAAGATGGAAACTGAGTAACAAGTTCTTGGCAGTGAACCTTGGCGATGCCCTTTCTGTTGGGCATGGGATCTATGCCAGCCCAGTACCAGACACAGCAATTATTTCATCTTCTGGGCTTGCCACAATAGCACCTGACTCAAAAGAGAGAGGGAGGGAGGGAGGGAGGGATTGACCAGAGTGACCTAGACCTGAGCTGTCAAATGACAGGTGCCAATCTGTAGGTCAGCTTCTTAAGCCCACAGATCTTTCCGCTCGCAATTCATTTGAGGAAGGACACACAGGCTGCTTGTATCTATTTAGCTGAACTGCTCACTTTCCATTGTTTCCTGAGCGGCGACATTATGGGGCTCAGTGATCAGGAATGGCAGAAGGTCGTAGACATCTGGGGGAAAGTGGAACCAGACCTCCCTGCTCATGGGCAAGAAGTTATCATCAGGTAAGCAGAAGCCGGTGACCGAAATCTGAGAAGCAGCTCTCTTGCGGAGTTAGCATAGTGGCATTTTTAAGAATCAGCTTAGGAACGTTGCAAAGTTTCTGATATTATGTGGGTGGAACAGAGAGAAAGACAACTCTGCAGATAAATCTGAAAGCTTTAATTCCTATCAGCCTCGTTTTTTTTTATCAGCTTTTAAAATAGATCTCTACTGCTATAAGATATAGGTTGCTTTTGTAATTGACATTACTGACTGAATCATTAACACATAATAAAAGAGGATTAGAACCATAGTTGCATTATTACTTCCTGAATGTCAAACCAACTGAGGTTCTTGGAAAAGGGCACAGAAAATTGTCCAGATATATGGGATGCCTCCAGACAGTTACTATTTTGCAGGAGGGATTCCAGTGCATATTGCACATTTACGTATGTTTGCACAGTTAATGGACTGTGTGGCCCTAGCACAAACATATCCACTTTAAAAATGAAAGAAAACACAATTTTTTTGTGGTTAGGAAATGCACTGAAAAATGTGGGATGAATGAATAGCAGAAAAAATTGAAAACACGCCACAGACACGTTAGGATAGAAAAATCAGAATGAATGTTCAATAAAAACTGGGGATAGCCTAACCACTGTGCTAGCTTTGTGCAAGCAAAACAGGAGGAAACCATGGATCCAACAAAGTAGCTGTAAGTAATTTTCTGAGGATGAAGTTCCACTGTTATTAGCAAAGATGCTTTGGATGGTTGGAATACCTGTAATGAAATGGAGCTAAGCAGGGCGAGTGACAAAAATCTGGGGTTAAAGGAAAGATCCTGGTTCCATTGGCACTGGAGGCAATATTGACATAAAAGCTTAAAAAGAGCCCTGTTGGATTAAGTGAAAAGTCCATCTAGATGACATTCTTGTTCCTCATCATGGCCAGCCAGATACAAGGTGACCTCAAAGTGGTTTACATGTGTTATTCAAAGACTATAGCATCTGCTTTGCGTGCAGAAGGTCCCAGGTTCAATCCCTGGCATCTCCAGGTAGCTGAGAGAACCTCATGTCTGAAACCTTGGAGAGCTGCTGCCAGTCAGTGTAGACGATATTGAATTAGATGGGCCAAGGACCTGATGTGATATGATGCAGCTTCCAATGTTCCTGTGTGCCTAATCTGAACACCAGAAGTACAAATCCTAAAATGCCATTTAAAACCACAACAACAAAACAATTATAATCAGCAGAGGAATAAGACATTCTTACTGGGCTACGAGTGATCGCCAAAGAAGAAGAAGACCAAAACAGACAAGGCAAACATGGCCTCTGAAAGCCTGGGCGAACAAGAGCATATTTGCTATAGGGCAAAATCCCAATTGTGTCAAAGTTTCTAGACAGAGGGTTCCCTAGCTGTGGTGCAACTAGGAAAAAGGCCTTCTCTGGGTCCCTGTGTGATGGCCTACACCTACAGTCATCGGTGGGATTGTATGCATCCCCTGCCCATTTGTTCTCAGGGTTTGGCTTGTTGATATGGGGAGAAGCACTGCAAGAAATATGTAAGTTCCAGGTTGTTAAGGACCTTGAATTGGACCTGCCTGGTAACATATAGGTAGATCCTGCAAAACTGGTGTTGCATGCCATCGTGCAGAAGTGCCCACTAATATGGCTGTGTGATTGCATTCCTCACTAGCTTCAATTTTTAGGCTGTCTTCAAGGGCATATGAATAGTTGTTTAAACAGGGAGATGATTTCAGGGGTTTTTTTAAGGGCTTTGGAGCAGAAACTGGGCATTTCTCTTCCAACAAAGCTTGGAATGTGGCCTCATTAAATTGCAGAAGATTCCCAACAATGTTATTCGAATGACATTCTGAAGATTGAAACTCCCATTTTCCTATGAAGGGGTTACTTTCACACTGTCATAATTTCCCAGTTACTCTGATATCAGGGAACATAAATGACACAGGTAGCTATGGGTTCTCTTACAGGTGGCATCTTTGATGGATAGCCAGTTTGGATAGCCAGTTTAATCACCGCCACCCATTTACCAGTACTCTACATTTACTGGGCTATTCAATTCAATTCAATGGTTTCAGGATGTTTCAGAAGCACCCGGAGACCCAGGAGCGCTTTGACAAGTTCAAAAACCTGAAGACGGTGGATGACATGAAGAGTTCAGAAGAGCTCAAGAAGCATGGAACGACTGTCCTCACAGCCTTGGGCAAAATCCTAAAGCAGAAAGGGAACCACGAGGCAGAACTTGCACCCCTGGCACAGACCCACGCCAACACACACAAAATCCCGGTCAAGTATCTTGAGGTAGGCAGCCGTGTATGTCTGTATGGGGGGTAGTGGAATAATTCTCTTGATTGACCAGGATAAAAGCAGGAGAGAGATGGGAGGTTGTTTTCTGCTCTCTCTCTCTATACAAACATTGCGTTATAGGAAGTTGATTTCTACTGAGTGAGAATGTTGGTGCATGTGCTCTCCAGAGTTTCAGACAGGGAACTTTCCCACTCCTTTTGTACTTGGTTTTGGTTGGTAGATCATGAGGTTCTCGTAAAAAGCCAAAGTAGATCCGAAAAGCCCACCCAAATGTAGAAAATAACCTTCCCTGCTTTGATATTTCAGACGTACTTTCTTTGAAAGCTGCCAGCTTTACATTTCTCTTTCCCTCCCATTCTTTCTGCACAGTTCATTTGCGAAATAATTGTTGGCGTCATTGCTGAAAAACATTCTGCAGACTTTGGGGCTGATTCGCAAGCGGCAATGAGGAAGGCCTTGGAGCTGTTCCGCAACGACATGGCCAGCAAATACAAGGAGCATGGCTTCCAGGGCTAATAGTGAGCATGGGAGGCAATGTTCCCTTTCAGCAAGGATGGGGAGCCTGTGTGTGACCCTCCAGATGTGGCTGGACCACAACTCCCATCACTGGCGAGGGCCAAAGGGAGCTGGAGTTGAACAACATCTGGAGGGCCACAGGTTCCTCATCCCTGTCACGAAGAGAAATAAAGCAGCATGTTTTGGGTGTGTGATCAATCTAGCAGAAGAATATTCTCCTTTTATGGCAGAAAATTAGTTTGGCACCAGCTTGAAAAAAATATACTCACTATATAAGGCTCAAGTTACACACCATGACAGAAGACCCACATCTTTAAAAGAAACTCTCTCGTTCATAATATTATTATTGCTATTATTATTATTATTATTGCCTGCCCTTCACCAGCAGGTCTCAGGGTGGGTTACAGCAGTTTCAAATTAAAAATTAAAAACAGTTAAAACAGGTTATAAGTGCAGGAATAGTATAGGCCCAGAAAACACATGCATTCAGGGGTGCCGACTTGAATAAAATATTGTTTGGGGTAGGTAAGCACCTCCCTGTATCAATCATGATCACAAGTTGTAGCACACACATAATTTGAATGACAATGACCATCAACTTTTTTTGGGGGGGAGCAATTCCTTCAAATATTTTATTGGGGGGGGGGGAAGGGACCTTGGCACTTAGGAGTTGGCTCCTATGCACACATCTCAGATGTGAAAAGCCGGGGTAAAGAGGTGTACCTTCAGCATTCACCAAAAGCTCTATAGAGAAGAAGTCATGTAAAGTTGAAGGTTGGAAGTGAAGTTTATAAGACCAAATGGGTGTGTAGGCATGAAATGCTGAATCATCTCATGCCAAACACTCTTACTGCCCAGTGGTCTGTCCACCAGAGTCCTTTCCTCCTCCAGCTAGGCCCTGATGCCAAACTCTAACAATCCTTTTTTGCAAAAGGTATGATCAGATAGATAGTGGGTGGGAAGTTCAGCACCCCCTGACTATTGGTTCTTTAAATCATACCGTTGCATAATATATCAATGGTGTCAGAAGGTCTGTCACTGTAATGTGTAGCTTGGGCTGTCAACTGAGGCTTCTTTTTTTTAATCTTCAGCACGAATCATTGTAATTTTGGGTTTAGTAGAATAAAGATTATATACAACAGAGATAAGCGATGGTTGCCTTTGTTAAAAATCCGCTGAGATATTATCCTCCGTCTGATGTCATAATAGAGAAAGGTTGCCTTGTGGTTAGTAATAGCTGTGAAAAAATGTTGGGCGAGGCTGTTCAGAAGGCGGGTAGAAGATAGGGTTGCCAGTTCCTGCTTAGATTCAGTACTACTTGCTGTTTTAATAACTTGAGATAGAAAGACTAGCAGAATTTGCTCCTGGTAGAATTCATCCCTGGTCCACCCTCCCACTCACCTTCCTTGCCTGCTGTACCAAACAGGATCCCAGTTCCATCTGGCAACAGATGGGAGAGGGAAGGGAGTTGCGAAACAATGGATGACATCACTAGGTCAAAATCTGACAGCCCCTGTAGAGAGGAATTCCTGTTAGAATTGATTAACTGATTATTCTTAGACTGAGCAGGGGCTGGGGCCAACCTATTGTAAACTTGTTCTAAGAAAGTTGCAAAATGGCTGGGGGGAAAATATGTGGGTGGGGTGGATCAGCATCTTGGTGCCCGTCTGCATGTGCCTTCAGAGAGAACTCACATTTTCAAGCAGCAATTCTTTTTCTGCAACCATTTGGTGCAGAAAACTGTGGATATATTCAGATAATAATCCACAGATTTGCCCGTTTCTGGTAAACCAGTAATGGGGTGTGTGATGTTCCTTGCAAGACTTACCTTGCATGGTCTTGATCCTGCAGGTCCTGCCCACATCCTTGCCATTCACATGTGTCCTAATGATGTCATCATATCATATGATGTCACAGTGCTCAGGGAAGGTTGCCATATTAGGGATGCTGGAGCACCAATTCTCTGGCATGCCTACGCTATTGAATCCCCAAGAATGGCCATCAGGTAACTTGGGACTATATGAGGCAAAGGTAAGTGTTCATATCTGCCTTAGGTGGATGAGAGCTTTAGAAAGCAAGCAACACTGAGGAATAATAGTTAAAGCTGTCACTTAAGACATTTTAGCTGATTATCCATATGTATTTCAGTCAGTTGGTTAACAGATGAGTAAACTGTGTACCTGGATATGGAGGCTATAAACATACTTTATTTTTAGATAACACATGTATGTACTGTAACAGTCCCCATCTTAGAAGAAGCATTTTCTCCTGCTTGTGAGACAACACACTATGGCACCAGTTGGTTGTGTTATTTTGTAGTTTGTAATACTGTATTAAAAATAACTTAAGCATTTTATTTGTAAAAAATCTGGCCAAAGAATTGCAGGCACCCTTTAGCTGATCAAAAGGGTTTTAACTGATTGACCAAATTATCAAAAAATAAAATACAAATGCAGCCCTGGGGGAGAGACTTTTCAGTGGAATCAGTACATTGGTTCTGAAAAGGCAGAGAAGCTCCATTAATGCAATCTCATGCATGTCTACTCAGACTGAGTTCCATTTAATTAAGCTGCAACCCTATACCTACTTACCTAGGAATAAGTCCCATTGAAATCAACTGGGCTAATTTTTGAGTAGACATGTAGAAGAACACGGAGTCAATTTTCAAGGTCTTCCATGCTGACCCTGCTAATGAAATGTAAAAGTATCTCTTGTATGTAAAAGTATCTCTTCCCCTAATCCCTGCGAGTTGCTACACATTTGAGTATGTGATACACTGAATGGCAAGTGGTGTGTTTTTTAATTGAATAAACCCTATTTCCTCAATGTCTGTGTTTTGTTTCTTATTTAAAGAAAGCCTGGGTGTGGAGCTTGGAAATTTATATGTACAGATGGCAAGTTTAGAAAGAATTGTAATAATTTGAATAGAAACACCATGCATCTCACTATTGTGGGGAAGACTGTGACCAGTTGACTGCATACACCTACTCAGCCCGCTGCTCTTGATGGACAACTTCAAAGCCCCTCTTCTAACTTTGTAGACTTTAAAAAAAAAATCTATAACCCCAATTTGGACCAGGTGGTCCTTCAGAGAGAGGACTGTTTCAATAGAGGACTGTCTTATGGCAAGATGGACACGTGATCACCATAATAAAAGAGGTTGGGCAGGAGGAGGAGAGAGAGAAACAGCAAACACAACAACGAGGGACTTGCCCACACTTCCTCTGGTCCTCCTGTTTTCCCTTGGGGAAAATTGCTCTTTAGAGCTCAATCGGAGCAAACAGCAATTTGGATTTTCCCTGGATTGTCATTTGTTCTGATCTATCACAAAAGAGTGAGTGGAAAGGAGTGGGCCAGGTGGGAAACTGCTTAGACCCGTGCTTTCTAGGCACAGCAAAGTGTCGACAAGCCCTAGACCTTCGTTACAGAGTTCTTGCAATAACCAACCAGAATTGAAAGAGTTCAAGGAGAGGAGGGGCCAAAAGTTGCTGGTCTCTGAGCAGAGCAACTGAGAAGACAGGGGCTTGCCTAAGGTCCAGTTTCAGATTAGGATGCTGGACTAGATAGGCCTCTGGTATGCTCTTAACTAGGGTGGCCATATTTCAAAAAGTGAAAATCTGGAGCTTTTGTGAGCTGTTTTGGGCAAAATCTCTTTTTGAGCTATTTCTAAGGAAATCTGCCATAATTGAGACTTCCAACATGGGTTGGATTTGCCCAGACATTTCATCAATTTCTGCCCGGAAACTGTTTCCGATTGCTGTGTTCAGGAAATTCCAGATGTATGGCAACCCTATCTTAACAGGCTTGGCAAAAAAGATTCCAGCTGCCTCTCCAAGGGTGGTGGTGGTGGTGGTGAGAAAGGAAAAATAAATATCAAATTGCCAGAATGCCTTCATTTCACTTGATCTGTTGCTCTGTGTAACTCAGAGGCTTGCATATTTCACCACTGACTTAACTCAGTTCAATAAAATTGTCACCTTACCTTTTTTTGCATTCCAACTATTCTCCCAGTCACTGCTGACAGAAGGCGGGTTTTTGCCTCCCTGCTATGCTGTTTGTTGCTGAAGGAGCTGTGCCTTAAATAAAGATCTGCTGTTGTCCGCTCGACATTATGCCATTCCCTGAATGAAAGAGCAACTGCCCCTTGTGGGTGCAGGCCTTGGCTTGCAAGCGAACTAAATTCTGCACCTACAACAGTTGCTCTTGTCAGTCTGAATGGGGCAGCCGCCATGTAAGAGTGACTATATTAAGAATATTATACATTGTGAGCAGCAGGGTTGCTCGCTGTAGTCCTTGTTGTATAATGTGGAGGTCAGCAGCTGTTTTTGCAATCCCCTGCTCCTCCTCCATACGCTCAGGGCTGGACTAACCATTAGGCTAAGCCTGACCACTGTGTTGGCAACCTCAAGGCTGGATTACTGTAATGTGCTGCATGCTGGGCTGCCCTTGGGCCTGGTTTGAAAGCTCCAGCTGGTGCAGAATGCCGCAGCCAGATTGCTGATGGGGGCATCTGGCTGACAACGTGTGACACCATTGTTAAAGCATCTGCACTGGCTGCCTATCGACTACCAAGCCAAGTTCAAGGTCCTTGTATTAATTTACAAAGCCCTGAACAACTTGCGTCCAGGATTGTCTGAACCCTTTTATTTGAGCTTGAGCTCATCGGCTAGAGCACCATTGGTTGTTCTCCAAATTTGTGAGGCTCATTTGACAACAACAAGGGAGCTTTCAGTGTCATCAGCCCGATTTTGTGGAATATTCTGCCAAGAGAAATTCAGAAGAAGAAAAGCTGAAAACTTTTCTATTCCATCAAGCTTATGCACACAATTAAGAATACATAGTATTGTGGTTTTTACTGCCTTTTAACAATGCTTTCATTATCCTTTATGGCTTATTACATATTGTTACATTCTATGGTTGTAGCATGAGCATTTTGGCCTTATTTGTACCCCACCTTGATTGATCAAGGATGGTTTAAAAATGGCTTCATAAATAACAAAGAAACAACTGTATCCCTAAAAACGAAATTGTTCTGCTCGTTTCTCCTTCAAGACCCACCCAAATAAGCTAGTTCTGAGGCACCACAGATGACCTCTAAGTGTGGCTCCAGTCCATTTCGAGATCAGCTTCACAGGCTGCAATAGCTCTAACATTGAGTCATGGCTGGGCAATTAGCCAGATTTGAGATTACTACAAAGTCATAAAGGTAGCAGTGGAAACGATTGTGTTCTCTTCTGCACTTCAGTTGGCTTTTGAAACTATAGAACTATGAAAAAGCAGGGCATAAAATGGTGCTAGCTGAGACGAGCAGCATGTTGTGCACGCGCACACGCGCACACACTGAAAGGACTATAGAGCTCGGCCATGAAACTCATGGATTGAAATGCACTGGCAAAGTTTTGTGTGGTTCCCAGGGCTTGAAATGTCAAGTGGAAATAGAAGCCACCCTCATACTCCCTAAACAAGGCTTGAAGGCCAGTTCTCACATTACTTGAGTTGAAGGGAACCCTCTCAGCACCGTGCCGATGAGTTAGCTAGTTTAAACGAGAAAAGCAAATGTTATTTTGTGAGAAGTAGATGAGCAGAAATGTAAACAAAGGTAAATAGGATGTTGTTTCTCAAAATAAATGCTTAGGAACAGAAGCCGGTGCCTCCTGGCAATGTGTCTGGATGTGTCTCAGCGGACCATGTGTTGTTGCATTTGACCTTCACTCCAGCAGCCCTGATCCTGCCTTGCTCTTCATTGATCTCTGGGGACAACTAGGGCATGGGTAGGCAAACTAAGGCCCGGGGGCCGGATCCAGCCCAATCAGCTTCTAAATCCAGCTGCGGACAGTCTGGGAATCAGCATGTTTTTACATGAGTAGAATGTGTGCTTTTATTTAAAATGCATCTCTGGGTTAGTTGTGGAGCATTCGTTCACCCCCCCCCAAAATAGTCTGCCTCCCACAAGGTCTGAGGGACAGTGGACTGGCCCCCTGCTGAAAAAGTTTGCTGACACATGCACTAGGGCTTCTTTCTTACTCATGGTACCCATGATCTGCAAAGACTGGTCCTAAAGCAACATTCTGGCCTATGCACCCTGCACCCACTTGCCTGAGAAATTCCAGGAGCAGAATGATCCAGCTATGGAGAAAGAGGGTGCAGAATCCCCCCCCCATTTTAAAATTAAGGCCTGGGGTAATCCAGTGAAGCTGAATGGTGAGAGATTCAGGACAGACAAAAGGAAGTAATACTTTTTTTTCCACAGCACACGGATGACCTATGAAATTCGCTTCCACAAGATGTGGTGACAGCCACCAATTTAGATGGCTTTAAAGGGGGATTAGATGAAATTTATGAAGGCTAATGACAACTAGTTAAGATGCCTCTGAATGCCAGTTGCTGGGGCACAGCAGCAGGAGAGGGGAGTGGTGCTCATGTCCTGCCTGGGGCTTCCCGGAGGGGCCTGGTGGGCCACTCTGTGCAACAGGATACTGGACTAGATGGGCCTTTGATCTGATCCCGCTGGACTCTTCTTAACTTTCCTCTTATCGCAAACAAGTCATTGGTGCAGGCTTCTTATGCAGCAGATTTCCTCAGGAAATGGTTAAATCCATATTAAATGGGAATACTATACAAATAGGCATTTTGATACTAAGGACTTGTAGATACTGCAACAAACAAACAAACAAACAAACCTGCATGCATGCATGCATGGAGAGCAGCCATCACACAATGAGCCCCCATCTGGAAGCAACCCAAGAAAATTGAGCAACCCCCACCCCCTTGTTTTATCTCATTTTTGTGTTGATTCCTGTATCTCCTTTCTTTGGTCCCTCTCGTTTCTAAGAGGCAGCGAAGTCCATAAATAACTTAGATGAAGAAGAAGAGTTTGGATTTGATATCCTGCTTTATCACTACCTGAAGGAGTCTCAAAGCGGCTAACCTTCTCCTTTCCCTTCCCCACAACAAACACTCTGTGAGGTGAGTGGGGCTGAGAGACCTCAAAGAAATGTGACTGGCCCAAGGTCACCCAGCAGCTGCATGTGGAGGAGCGGAGACGCAAACACGGTTCACCAGATTACGAGTCTACCACTCTTAACCACTACACCACACTGGCTCTTGTGCAATGAAGCACTTCATCCCCCCCCCTGACTCTAACAGACAGCCACTCGCTTTCCCTCAGTTCTGACTATCTTGCTTATGACAGAGAATGCTTTCTGCCGTCACACACTCTGTACCCATTACCTGATTGTTAGAAACCTCCAGAGGTGCCAGCTTGTGAGGGCAATGGCCGGGGACCAATGTCGCGTGTGACGTAATACTCCTCCTCCTCTTCCTGGTGCCACCACTGGCTGTAGGCTGCTCCCACCCTCCTTCCCCTCTGCAGCAGGAGGATGAGAAGGAGCCGGCTAGTGGAGCCACGTTATGCTCGGCTCTGCACTCCACTCTGCGCACAGCCTTCTCTGCCTCCTCAACATTGGGGTCCCCCAGCTCCCAAAAGATATTGAGAGGGCCCAAAGCTGCTCAGCCCTCAGGAACTGGTGCCCCTAGAAAACGCCACTCTGTCCATCTACCTGCCATTGCCGTGGAAAGGAACTGAGATTGAGTCCTCTGTGTTCTTATATGCAGAGCCGTCTTTCCCATATGGCTTAGTGGTACGTTGCGCCAGGGCGCCGGCCTCTCAGTGGTGCCCCAGTGAGTGGGGGAGCTGCGTAGCTTTGCTGGCAGCCTCCCCTTTCCCTGCACACCCGCCAGCTGCGCCCCGTCAACCATATGGCTAATGGGTGTGCAGCTTGCCTCCCAAGCCTCTGCTGGAGGAGAGCGATCCCTGCAGAGGCTTAG